TGAGGATGGGGACACAACACCATGAGCTTGGGAGGTCTGGACATTCCCAACATTAGACAGAGGTCCTATCACAGGCTGGGAGGGCAAAAGAAGTCGACAGGTATCTCTTTCTCAGGAGAATTTCTGGAGTACTCTGGTGAGCCTAGGGCACCAGAACTTTCCCCAGGCTTCCTGGTAAAATCAAAGAGTGTCCTAAGCAAGAAGAAGGATCTAGCAAGACATAATGGCTTATGCCTATATCTCTTGGTGGGTAGAGGCTAGAGGCAGAAGGATCAAGAGTTCAAAGACACCCTCTCCCCACATAGACACCCTCACCCCACATATTGAGTTAGAAGTCAACCTAAGGCACAGAAACCCTGCCTCAAAAAAACAAACAAATAGGGGTCTAGAAGCTTTGTGCCCAGCTCACCACTGCTGAAAAAGCCAAGGCCCCCACACCACGCTCAAAGGCACCCAGTCCAATCTCCTGCAGCTTTAGGAGTGTCTCTGAGTCCCAGATGTGAACCACAGGCTGTAAGGGCTAGTGGAAAAGAAGAGATCAGAACTATGAAGAAAAGCTGGTCTTTAAGTCCATCCTGGCTGCCTGATATTCTGACTTGGCCTTACCTTCCCATCCTTGTCTACTCCAGCTGTCTGTCCTGAGGCTACACGAACACCATCAGGGTGAACAGCAAGGCTAAGTAGAGGGAGGAGAACTCTAGGAAAGGGGGTCTCTCAAGACCACCCAAGGCACCTTGTCCTTGCTTAAGAAGCAGCAAGGCAACTGTCTTTTCTGCCCTTCCACCCCCAGCCAGACCCTCTCCCTGCAAAGCCCACCAGCCCCAAACCCCAAGACCCTCACCATCGAACGCAGTCTGTGTGACCCCGGTAATGTCTCTGGCCGCCACCTCCAGGACCCCCTGGGCCGCCCCCAGGCCGGTACAGCACCACTACACAGGCAATAAAGTAGACCACCTCCCCAGAGCGCAGCACAAACAGATTAGAGCGAGAGTCACGGCCCCTGTACCCATAACTGTGTTGGGGACCACGGTCAAGGAAAGGGCCAGACCAAAGGCAGGAGGAAAAAGAGTGAAGCGTCAAAATGGCAAAGCTCCTTCTTGGCATTACCATCCACGACAGGGCGGGATGGTTCAGAGGACTTCCCGTCCCCACAGACACAGAAAGAAACTAAAGAAAGAAGGGGGATCCATAGTGGGAAGGGGTAGTTCCCATGGAACTGGGAGGGATAGGATACACCCAGTCAAGGCTGAGGGTCTCCGGGGGTGGGCCACTGGGCAGCTCCTCAAGACTTCGGATGCCAGATGGAATGTACATAGTGATGGGGCGGCCACGAAGGAACATCTTCACTGAAATGCCTTCTACAGAGACAAGCAGAGAAGTGAGCCTCCCTTCCAGAAGGTCAACGCAGCATACCCGCCATACCTGACACATCCCCAAAGCAGCTCCTAGGGCTATAGCCCAAACCTTAATTCCATCATCCAAGTTCCTCCCTCTGCCTCTCTGTACATACCCAAATTATAATTGCTCCTCCGAGATCCAGGACCCCCGGGGCTGGAGAGGGGGTCTTTGCTCCCACGGCTATTGGGAAGAGGTAAAAGCGTAAAGACTAGGATCAAGTCCCAATACCTGAGATGGGTGGGGCAAGATACTGACAGGAGGTTCACGCCAGTCAGCCTGCTGGTGTGGGGTCGCTGTCAGAGTAACAGGGCTCTAGAGAGATGGGGACTTTTAGTTCCAAAGAAAGAAAGAGAGGAAGGAGGGAAAAAAGTGGGATGGAGGCTAAAAAAGAAGCAAAGAGACGGGGAGGAGAAAGGGGAAGAAGAACGAGAAGGCAATATAAAGATGAGAGAACAGGACCATGAAACAAGCAGCCTGTGCCCTTTTTTCTAGGCCTCTACTGACCTTTATATTCCCGTATCTGTAAAGCGGGGTCAAAAATGAAACCAGAGTGTACACCAGCCCTGCCTTTCAAGAATCTAGGAGGTAGGCAAAAATCTCCCAAAAGGAAAGCGACAAGTGAATTCCAAAGGTCACTGTCACTAGATGGTAAGCTGACAATGGGTCTTCAGAGAATAAAGGAGAAGCCAAGAAAGGACAAAGCTAGAGTGGACCTTCAGGTCCACTAAGACAACACTTCTTGGCTCTGGAATGTTCCCTTGTAGTACAGAAGTGGGCAGAACAGATCTTTGTAGGGAGAGGGGTATCAGATGACGCTCTGAGAACAGCCATCTGTGAAAAACCACCAGAGCTACCAGGTCTCTCTCTTCCCAGCACTCCAGAGGCCACGAAAGGAGAACTATCATGCCTTTTAAGCCAGTCTGGGCAACAAAATGAATTTTAGGCCAACCCAGGCTATAATGTAAGAACCTGTTTCAACTAAATAAGCCAGACGTTGGTGGCACATGCCTTTAAACCCAGCACTCAGGAGGCAGAGGCAGGAGGATCTCTGTGAGTTCGAGGCCAGCCTGGTCTACAGAGCAAGTTCCAGGACAACCTCCAAAGTAATACAGAGAAACCCTGACTTGAAAAAAAAACAAAAGCAAAAAAACCAAAAAACAACAACAACAAACAACAACAAAAAATGTCATGGAAGCTTTGAGCTCCTAGAATTTTGAAAGGGATTTTGTGATATGAAAAGGTTAGCAGAACTAGAATCAGGAAAAACCGGGTTCAGAGCTTGACTGTGTGACCTCAGGCAACTGATTGCCCTCTCTGGGCCTGTTTCACCTGGTCAGTGGAGAACACAAGAGACAACCTACTCACCAAAGATGCTACAGGGCCTAAATGACATGGAGGAGAGTTTTAGCACAGTGCCCAGAACACTGCAGGAATCCCAAGGAATGCTTTGTTTCTTTCTTCCTGCTGGCTCATGAGGTCACCCACCCCACCCAGGAATGGAGAAAGTCAAGAAACTGGGCTGGGGTACAGCAAACTGAGGCAGGAGGAGAAGGCTTACCCACCTCTCTGTGCTCCCTGACCGCAATAGCAGGTTGGCGGAGGAAGCCGCCTTCCTAGAGAGTTTCTGCCTGGGCCGCTCTGAGGGGGATGAAGAGGAGGAGGAATTTCTTCGTGGCCTGGTGGGGCAGAATGAAAAAGTGAAATCAAGCTTAACAGTCCTGCTTCCTAGCCTTCCCACCCCCTCAGCTTCCATCACGGGACACACATACGTGTCAGAACGCTGAAGGGGCTGCACAGGCCTAAGGACCCCTGGGGGGCCAGGGGAGCCTGCCCCACTGCTGCTGCTGCACCCTCCTTCAGACTGGGTCCCACTAGGCTCTTCACTGGCTCCTGGAAGAGCTGGAGGCCCATTGCTCAGGCCAGGTGGTCCAGAGGATGACTCCATCTCCAATTTTTCCTCCGTCTGGGTGCCTCGGCTCACCAAGGAAGGGCTGCATGTAGGTGGCAGGCCCGGGGGAGCTGTAATGCTGCTAGGGAGACAGCAAATCAAGTTGATGCCTCAAAGTTCCCAGGAAGGAAGAATGAGTGTGCTGACATGCATACCTGTCCCTTGTTGGAGCTGGTGTGCCAGAGCTCTGCAGGGAGGTGGAGGGGCCATGCAGCCGCAGCAAGCGAAGCGCTTCTGCCAGGGCTGCCTTTACCAGCTCCATCTCTTCTTCCTGCACCCGAAGCCTCTGGCTCAAGGTCTGCAGTGTCTCATGAGCAGGGCCCTCACCTAGAGAAGGAGCAACAGACACTCAGAAAAGTGCCACTACGTGGAAGATTAAGGGGGTTCTGTCCTCCTGTCCAACTTTACAACCCAATTGTCCAACAGGACGACCTCTTTCAAACAGTCCAAAGCTTCGGAGGCTTATCCAGAGGGGGAAAGACAGAGGCTAGAAGATCAAGAGCCTCCTCGTAGCAGGGCATGCAGTGAGCCTGGCATTCCTGCTGCTACCCCAGCCTCCGCATAGACAGGGAGTACCATGAAGTGGTGGGGGGGGGTGCAAGCGGAGGGGGGGAGAATGGCGGTATGGAATACTGCCGAGGTACGTGGGAGCCAGACAGGGAGAGAGCTGCAAAGGCAAAACTAGTGAGGAACTACAGCCCTCACATCCCACCAGCAAGCCCAAGTCTCTACCAAATGCAAAAGCAGTCAAGCTAGAAAGTGGACAGGGCGGCAGTAAAGTCAGCCTGAGGGGCCACGGTGTAAGGAACAAGATCTGGTGACGGTAAAGAGTACCAGCGGAGAGCAGTTAGTGTACATCCCAATGTAACTGTGGGAGTCACAAATACGAAGAGCCGGAATTCTCGGAGAAGAGGCCCAGAGTGACACAGCGGTCAGGGAAACTCAAGAGAACCAAGGAGTAGAATGGCATTAAGGAAGTCCTAAGTGACAGTTGGAGGTTCTTAGGAACTGAGGAGGATGCTCAGAGCCCCTGGA